TCAAATACATTCATGAACATAGAATTTATTTAATTCAAATTGAATATAGAAAAAATAATTTATATACGCGTGATCTTGAAAAAAAATTTAGACAAAATGGTGTTTACGTGAACTTGGAGAATAAATTTATACCATAGATTAAATAAATAAATTTACATAAACTTAGCCCCCGTTTGGTCTCCATTTTCACCCAAAAAATGCATTTTTCTACCAACGTGGGTCCCACATGATGACATTTATTTTTGAATTGACTTGTACAATTTTTAATTGTCTCGAAATACCCCCATTTGTTTTCAACAGCCACCCTTTTTTAACTTTTCCACCTCTCATAATTGTTGCTCACTTTAGAGGGTAGTAAAGGAATTGGAAAATAAAAATCTGCTGTGGACTATAACATATCTGTGCATTGTCAGTTGAAAGGATTGGCAACGGGTGACTTTTTTCTAAAATGAGAGTGCAAAATGGGCAACAAACAGGGGCTTAGACAATTTATTTACTCCTGAAGTAATTGAATAGCCCACAAAACATATAGATTGTAATTAATTTGCACATGTCTAAATATGAGAGAAATACAAGCCCTTGAAAATAAATGTTAATTATTACACATGCAAATAAATAGTAAAATGCATAATTGTAATGTTAAATACATATTGAAAAATGAAAATGTATTGTTGAAATAAATAAATTGTAATAAGGGTAGAATCGTTCAAAAAATGATTTTCATTAGATGTAATATTTAATATATTATATATATAGATTTGAATCAATTTTATAAATTAAAAGAAAATAAAAATTGCTGAAACATTATATTGCAGTATGGCCAAATTTTGAAACAAAAAATACAATTCATAGTGAAAACTATCGGTAGTTGTTCTACTTTGGCATACACGTATCAGTTTTTTATTTAATGCATGCGATCATATTAATACGTCAACTAACAATCTATCATGTTTATGCCACATAGGATGACTACCGATAATTTTCATTATGAATAGCATACTCCTTTGAAATATTATGATTCGTCCTATATATGCCAAATGGGGACATTTTGGCAATATAACTTCTTTGCTAAACATTGATGGGCATATGGCTCGGCAAAGTTCATAACTTCCATGTATGATAGGGTATGATCATAGTTGATAGTTAATCTACTACGATTTAGAAATTTCCTAACTAAATATAAAGGGGGTAGGTTTTGTTACTTTTCATAAGCTGATTTCTAAATAAGCCGAGCCTTGTTGAAGTGAGCCATGTTAGCCGAGCCGTTTGGAAGTGTGTTGGCTATCTAACTAAGCCCTTGTTTGAGCCCCATTTTGAGGAGGAAAATGAATTTTTGAATATTGTATTGATGGAAATGTGTGGCTAAAAAATAAGGAAAAATTTTGGATTTACCTGTAATATTATTTTATTAGAGAATGTGTGATTGAAATGATGTCAAAATACTGTAGAAGAATTCGTTTTTTTTCAAAGAATGGGAATCAAACAATGGCTAAGCCCTTGTTTGAGCCCCATTTTGGAGGATAAAATGAATTTTTGAATAGTGTATTGATGTGAAATATGTGGTTAAAAAATAAGAAAATTTTTTTGATTTGCGTATAATATTATTTTATTGAAAAATGTGTAGTTGAAATGATATCAAATCATTGTTGAAGAATGTATTTTGGTGGGAAAATGGGGCTCAAACAAGGGTTAAATATAAGGCCCTGTTTGGCACCCATTTTTATCAAAATGCATTTTTCTCTCTCTTCTTTTCAACCACACATTCTTTATTAAAATAATATTACACGTAAATCAAAAACTTTTTCTTATTTTTCAACCACACATTTCCCATCAATTTGCTATTCAAAAATTCATTTTCACATAAAAATTCCTACCAAACACCCTCTAAAAGAGTGGGCCTTCTTACTGTTCATAAGCCGATTTCTAACTAAGCCGAGCCATGTTGGAGTGAGCCATGTTAGCTCAACCGTTTGGAAGTGTGTTGGGTAAGTTTTCCTTTTGCCAGTGTGGTTCCAAAATATTTACTTCGTCTGCTTTTTCTTTTTATTTCTACGTCTCAAAAATCCTTTTTTTTTTTTTTTTGTTGGGGATTCTAGGAGTTCAATCAACCAAAACAACAATCAACAAACAAGATTCAAGTCAAAAAACAAGAAAAACGGGAATGGAAAAATACAACCCCTTCTTCTGCCGATTTCTGTCCAGCTTCTTCTTCTTCGTTTCAGCAGCTTCTTCTTGGATTTATGGGTGTTTTTCCAGGCTCAGGAAAAGTCCCATGCTATGCCAATTGCCTTCCAAAGAGAGAGGGGAAAAACCAATGAAGAACCACCACCCTTTTCAATGAAAAACCGAGAGCTCCTCACTCTGCTGGGAATCCTCAAAAACGTGAGCTGCCCATCCCTTTATTTGAAAATTGTAGAGCGTACATAATGAAGGGGTAGGAAGAAAGACCATGCCTCTGCCAAAAGAAGGGAAGACCTTATTGTGTCAACCTCACTCCCATCAAGTCACAACATTAGATGGTGGGATTAGGTGAACCATATCCTCACATTCTTCACCTTGGTTTTCCTAACACTCTCTCTTGGTTGCGAATTTGCACATGGAAGAACTGTTCATCATCATCGCCCACCACCTACAAGAAAAAATTAACCAGTGTCAATGTGTAATAAAGATAAGTACAATCTAAATTTACTTGCAGGTAGAATTTTTGTTCCCATATCAGAG